CTCATACACTCACATACATACACTCACATGCTCACACAGACACTCATACACTCACATACATACACTCACATCCTCACACACAGGCACTCACACACAGGCATTCATACACTCACATACACACACATGCTCACACACAGGCACTCACACACTCACATGCTCACACACAGGCACTCACACACATACACACACAAGCTCACACACGTGCACTCATACACTCACATGCTCACACAGGCACTCACACACTCACATACACATACATGCTCACACACAGGCACTCACATGCTCACACACAGGCACTCACACACAGGCACTCACACACTCACACGCTCACACACAGGTATACACACACACTCTCATGCATACACACAGGTATACACACACACACACTCTCATGCATACGCATGCGCACTCTCCCTTGCTCCCATGGGAACTCCTCTTTCTTAAGGCTGTGCCTTCACCAAGTCACTCTCTTCACTGTGTTTGATATGAAGTCAGCTCTTCCTGCCACCACAGGGACAGCCACACTGCCCCCACGGTACTCATCTCCTTTCTGTCCTGAGCCACAGCCTGTGGCTCATCTCCTTGGGTTTCTACAGGGATCTCTCAGAGACACCTACACTCCAGCTGCATTTGTTGGGACCCCAGCCCCTACGTGACCTCATCAGTTTTGTGATGGTCAGTGTTGTGACAGCACTACAGGAGGCTCGCCCAGTGACCCAAAATCAGCCTGTGTGTCCCCACGGCCTCTGGAGTCACCCTCCCCACCCCCGATGGTCAGGTACCACTGTTTTCCTTCCTGAGTTCTAGCAGGGAGCCTGAAAAGCAAATGGGTCAGCCAAGGACCTCAGAGTCAGGGGCCAGTGGATGCAGATCAGAAGCTGAAACAGCCTAAATTACAAGTGCTGGACGTGAAACCCACTTGGAAGAGGATCCGAGAAAACTCCGGAGGCTTCTGTTTCCAAAGCACCAGGTGGAGCCTCAGGGGGGCATTCACGGCAGGGCTCAAACATTTCACAGCTCAGCACCAAGTTCTTTCTTAAAGTAGAAATGTATTTTTTAGGCTGAAATGAAAATTAAATTCTTCTCTTTAACCTTGACATCATTTAAAAAAGTGATAACAGTGTAACACCAAGTTTATTAATAGCCTGCCCTGGATGTGTACTTTGATTTGCGCTACTTTTCAGGTGACTAGTTTTAGCTGGTCATCACCTGTGTTGCATTCATGCCCATTTTTGTTCCTCCATCCACTTGGCTCCATCACAGGAGGGGTACACGACACACATAGTGTGAACTGTGATGGATACACAAACTCACTCGGCCTGCACGCATAGCAAGAGAACCAGAGGACTCAAGCCGACATCCTGGTTGATCCACTGTTCAGGTCCCTTGTTAAACACAGGACTCAGACATTCTAAGAAAGTTTTGAAGGCTTTGCTTTGGGGCCCATTTAAAAGTGTGACCTCCCAAGTCCATTATGATGTCAGCAGCTCCCTCTCCAGATTCCTGTCCTCGGTAGTGCCCACCAACTCCTGGGTGCTGGGGTTGCACTGGTCCCTCCCTCCTGCTTGGCAGTGGTGGCTCCCTAACTTCCTGCCGCCCCCCCCCCCCACGCCCTTCCCCTCCTCGTTGGCTCACAGGAAGGTCCTAGCCTAAAAGTGTCTTTTCTGAAGCTACCTGCTTTGCTGATTTGAACTCTCTTCAAGGAAAACAACAAAACATCACTATTTCCAAATGAAACATTTATCTAAAACAAAATATTTCAAATAGTTCACATTTTGAAATAGCCTTTAGTGTTGGGGTGACATTGTTTACTGGCTCAGCATTTGGGTAGCATTCTACTTCCTGATCCTTGAGCATCACCCTTTTATTCTTTTTTTTTTTAGAGAAAGAGTCTCACTTTGTTGCCCTCAGTAGAGTGCTGTGGCATCACAGCTCACAACAACCTCCAGTTCTTGGGCTTAGGTAATTCTCTTGCCTCAGCTTCCTGAGTAGCTGGGACTACAGGTGCCAACCACAATGCCTGGCTATTTTTTGTTGCAGTTTGGCCGGGTTTGAACCTGCCACCCTTGGTATGTGGGGCCAGCATCCTACTCACTGAGCCACAGGTGCCACCCCATCCTTTTATTCTTGAGGAATTTTAAAGCACTAGTCCAGTAGGGCCATAAGGGGACCTCTCCATCCTTGCCACTGGGCATGTGAGGAAATTGAGGTGTGGAAGCTGCCCCTGATTCAGAGCTAAGGCAGGTGCAGCCTCTTAGATCCCAGCTCTAACCCGGGATCCCTCAGGCCTGGGTCAGTTCAAGATGCCCCACAGCTCGGGAGAGCCCTGGTCGCTTGCTTTAGGGTTTTAGGGTTAGAAATGATATTGGAGAGAAGAGGAAGAGTGGGCTCTATTTTGTTACATGTTTCATATTTAAATACATATATATTTACAAATGCATTGGTGACTTTGACATCTCTATATTAGACACTATTTTCTAATACCTTTTATAGATTTATATGTACTTCTAAATAAGACAAGATAAAAATGCATTTCATTTTTATAAATGAATTCTACTTTCAATATCTTAGAAAATTTCTTTAGCAAAATGGTCCTGTCTCCCAGATTTCAGAGACGGATGGGACACTGCTCAGACGGTGTCTCTACAAGGCCCTGACCGGCTGCTGTGGAATGTCTGTGCCCTAGACCCCACGTGGTGCACCCACAGGCCTCCATGGATGAACAGGAAGGCGAGTGACAGCTGGGAGGAAAGCACCCTCCCCTCAAATGCCCCTCAGAGCACAGAGAGGCATAACTACTTCCCGACTCACGAGCACGTCATATACCACACACAAGGCACTTGGAAAGGCACCGATCTACAGTTTCAGCTGACCCACCAGCAGGTCCCACGTCTGTTTTGTTTCCCTAGAAAACACGGGTTTAGATGCAGGGGCTGTACAATCTGACCCCTCTTCCCTGCTGTGCTCTGACAAACATGCTCTCACACAAACTCACACGCTGTTCTTGAGTTAAGAGGTGCTAGTAGGCAGGCCCCAGGAGACACGGCAGCACACACATGCACACCATAGAAATGTGTTTTAGTTGGGATTATGGTTTTAGTCTGGAGCTTAAAAAAGTAAGTAAAACAATATTTTTAAAAGGATGGAAATACCTTAACTGTGTCCTTTTAAATAAGGGTGAGCTTAGAAGTTAGGACCCTTGAGTTCAAAAGCTCCTGTTCACTTTACTGTTAGCCACTGAAATTCTAAAAAAAGAAAAAAAAAACACCAGTAATAAAGAGCATCAAGGGTAGGGTAGGTGCAGATATCTTGAACCATCACCCGCCTGTCACTGGCACCTTAGTTACAACCGTCACTACCTTCCCAGAGCCAGCCCAGGCACCAGGAACTACCCGAGCCACAGCGCCAGGTCAGTCAGGGAAAGCTGCCGCTGATGGAATTTTCACAGCATCTACAAGTCTCTGCCACTGAGACAGGTGAATACAGCAGGTGGCCAGCCCTGCTATAACTGCTTCTGTGAATGGCGAGGTTGTATACCAGGCCAGAGTGGCTTGGAACGGCTGCTCCTGTTCCTGAGGACCTAGAGAAGTTAGACGGCCACACCCAGGAGATACTTGCCGCTGAGCAGAGGCTTGTTGAGCATGTACAGTGGCGGCAGGTCCTCAATGTTGGAGATGCGCTGGTACATGGCCCTGGAGAGGTGGTCCCCGTGGTACAGGCTTCCCAGGATGATGCTGGAGAAGTAGATGGGCTCCACGAAGATGCTGAGCAGGGAGCCCTGGATCCCCACCACGTTCCAGCTGTGGGAGAGAGCACATGCTCAGAGGGCAGCACCAGTGGGCACCAGCTGGCTGCCTGCGCACATGGAAATGCTGCCACCTCCACAGAGATTTCAACCAACTAAAAAATATTACCAATAAAAATAACAAACTGACCTAGCAATGTAAAAATTTAAAGGAAGCATCCATTTAAAAGTTATTTTCAACGGTGAAATGACTTGTTTCCAATCTGCTTTCCCGTGCTGACATATTTACAGAAGTGTAGTTTTAAAAAGGTGCAAACAAGCCACATGAGTTTCCTGTAAGGAATGTGTGGTTTGTCACAGTGGTCCCTCCCTACCCACAGTTTCACCATCAGATTGTGAGTTACCTATAGTTAAGATGGTCTGAAAACATTACATGGAAAATTCCAGATATGAACACTTCATAAACTTTGAATCTTACACTGTTCTGAGTAATGGCATGAAATTTCTTGTTGTCCTACCTGAGTGTGAATTCTCTTGTCTGGCTGTCTAGCCCTAGATACTGAATCACCACTCGGGAGCATCTCAGTGACCAGACCCACTGCCACCGTGCATAGTGCTTGTGTTCAAGTAACCTTTATTTCACTTAATAACGGACTGAAACTCAAAAGTAGTGCTGCTGGCTCGGTGCCCACAGCTCAGTGGTTAAGGTGTTGGCCACATACACCGGGGCTGGTGGGTTAGAACCCAGTCTGGGCCTGCTAAATAACAATGACAACTACAACAAAAAAATAGCCAGGCGTTGAGGTGGGTGCTTGTAGTCCCAGCTACTTGGGAGGCTGAGGGAACAGAATCACTTAAGCCTAAGAGTTTGAGGTTCCTGTGAGCTGTGATGCCATGGCACTCTACTGAGGGCAACATAGTAAAACTCTGTTTCAAAAAAAGGAGAGTAGAGCTGCTGGCACTACCACTTCTGTTTTGCTAGCAGTCACTGCTGTTCATCTCTCACTGTGCTAATCTATAAACTAGACTTCCTCACAGCCGTGTGATGGGCTGGAGTACCCTGCATGAGGAGAGATCCTTGTGTAGGCTTCGACACCCACTAGGCGTGTTGACACCCATGGGTAAGGAGGGTACTAAACTTCTTATAAAGACAAGAGCACTCAAAAGAGCCCTTCAAAACATTAAAATGGTTATTTCCTGTTCCTCTGAATCAAGGCTCAGGTCAGAGTGAGAGCCCTTGGTAGCCATCCTGCTCTTGGAGTTCCTGCCTCACACCTTACCCCGCTGCCAGTCCACAGACCAAAGACCTCTGCTCCCCTGGGGCTACAGCATCCTGAGTTTCCACTGGCCTCACTTTGCTGGGGCCACATGTAGGAGGAAGGGACAGCCTGGGAGCCAAGCAGTGAAAAGGCAAACAAATGAAAGAGGGGCAAATCTACAGAGGAGGAGAGATCAACTGGAGAGGTGGTGCAAAATTTTGTTAAAAGAAATGGGGTGCCAACTTCAAGGAGGGGTTCTTGAGGCAGACAGTGAAGCTAGAGAAGAAATGGGGCCCAGGGAGGGCTGAGCAGGGGCGGGGAAGGATAGAACTGAGGGGCTGGAAGAAGATTAACAAGTGGTGTTTAGCCTATGACTTCCACATGGCAGACGAGGAAATGCAGGCCTTCCTTCCCCTCAAGACACGGAGCTAACCACAGGATATGGGCCACAGCACCTCTGTGGAAACTCTAGAGACGCATGGTGTCGCTACAGCACCCGGACCACTATGAAACCAGCAAGTTGAAAATCTAAAAATAGATCCATATAATGAATAAAAGATATGAAGAGATTAGAAAGAATATAGCAGAACTTAAGGAACTGAAGCAGTCAATCAGGGAACTTAAAGATGCAGTAGAAAGTATCAATAACAGATTAGATCATAGAGAAGAAAGAATCTCAGAGCTAGAGGACAAGGCTCTAGAGCTAACCCAGGGATTTAAAGAGGCAGAAGAGAGAAAAAGCAGAGAGTTTGCTTAGAGAATTAAGGGACTTCGTGAAGTGCTCAAACATATGAAGCATAGGTGCCCTGAAGGAGAAAAAGAATGACCCAAAGGAATAGAAGTCCCACTAGAAAATATCATAAATGAAAATTTCCCAAGCACCACCAAAGGTTCTGGCACACTTCTTTTAGAGGGATATCAAACCCCAGGTTGTCTCAACACAAACAGAGCATCTTCAAGGCAATTGCAATGAATCTGTCCAAAGTCAAGATGAAAGAGAAAATTCTGCAAGCGGCCAGGAGTAAGTGCAATTGACCTACAAGGGCAGATGCCTCAGGGTAACAGGGACTTTTTAGCTGAAACATTCCAAACCAGAAGAGAATGGTCATCTACCTTTAACCTTCTTAAACAAACAATTTTCAGCCAAGAATTCTGTACCCTGCTAAATTAAGCTTCAAATTTGATGGAGAAATCAAATCTTTTACTGACATGCAAACATTGAGGTAATTCACCATAACAAGACCAGCTCTATAGGAAATACTCAGATGGATTCTCCACACTGACCATCATAAAGGACCACCAAAAAAGTAAATCCTCAGAAACTAAAGGGCAAAACCTAGCTTCCATAGTGGCACAAAGGATGAAACTAGGCACTACCCTTTCACAAAATAAGATGACTAAAACTCCACCTTAATTATCAGTTCTCTCAATAAATGTAAATGGCTTGAATTCCCCACTGAAGAGACACAGGCTGGCTGATTGGATTAAAAAAGCACAAGCCATTTATATGTTGTCTACAGGAAACACAGACCTAGCCTCAAAGGACAAAACAAGACTCAGGGTGAAAGGTAGGAAAACAATATTTCAGGCAAATGGAAATCAGAAACAAGGAGGGGGGTCACAATTTTAGTGTTGGATACAAGTGGCTTTAAAGCAACTAAAGTTAAGAAAGACAAAGATGATCATTTCATACTGGTCAAGAGAACAATACAACAAGAAGATATCTCAATTTTAAATATTTATGTATCCAACTTAAATGCTCCCAGATTTATAAAACGAATCTTAATTGGTTTGAAAAATTTGATAGCTGGCACGGCGCCTGTGGCTCAAGTGGCGAAGGCGCCAGCCACATATACCTAAGGTGGCGGGTTCGAATCCAGCCTGGGCCCACCAAAAAAC